TGTGCTCCGCAACGGGAGAGGCCAAAACAGGGAGAGGCCCGTGTACCCCAAAAAAAAAAAAAAAAAAAAGTATTTTGTCTTTTTGTTAATAATGCATTTTGGCAATCTGGTAACTCCCACGTGCCAATCACGAGGTCCCCAGTGTTCTTACATAACCACAGTTAGCTCAGAATGGACTATTCTTCCATGAGAAGCTTAAAAATGCATATTTTTTTCCCATAGGCAAGACATTCATGTGGTTCAAAAATTAATATCACCATTCTGTACCCATTAGTCCTGTTCTCCCTTCTCTCCTCCCACTTTTGTTAGTTTTCTTCTCTATCCTTACAGTCTTAATGCAGATACAGATGTATATTCTTATTGTCTCCTTCACCTGCCGGAAAGGTAGAATGCTTTATATCACTGCTCTGTTCCTTCTTTCATTGAATAATCTATTTTGGTCATCTTTCCTTGCTGCTCCAAAGAGAGTGTCCTCCCTCTGGTCAGAATATATCTTGAGAGCAGCTCTGTGCACCAGGAAAAGCCTGAGTTTGTTTGGGAGCCGGACTGGCCTGGGTAGGGACCCAGCTCTTCTGCTGATGAGCTCCGTGACTTTGGGCAAGTCACCTCTCCCTTCCAGGCTTCATTATCTTACAAAACGGGGTCATTGTGAGATTAAATGAGACAGTGTTATACATAGGGCCTTGCTCAGTGCCTCACCCAAGAGATGGTGGTTTTCTTCATCATCATCAGTTTTATTTTGTATAACATTATTCGTTTAACATTGCAAAGCTCTAAGCTCTGCTCCGGGTGGGGACACTAATGTCGTTGCCATTTCTAGGGATGAGATAACCGAGTTCTAGAAAGATGTAGTCAGTGGCAGCACTTGCTTCTTTGCACCCCTAGTCACTGCATTCTAGCCCATCATAGCCTTCAGCCTAGAAGGACATCTTTTCAAAGTACCATATATGCTGTAGCTTGCAAGGTAAACAGAAAGGTTCCATCTCTCTCTCTCTCCCCCCTCCCCCTCCCCTCTTCCCCCCCACCCCAGCGGCATCCTGCCCCTCCTCCCCCTCACACTCCCAGGGAAATTGATTAATCTGAGTTATTAGTCACACCAAACACAGGAAAGAAATACACGCCTGGGCCCATCACAGTCACTCTTGGTAATGCCTGAATTAGATTCATTCTGTTTTACATTTTCCCTGACAAATCCAATTATAGAATTATTTGGGGACTCAAATGGCCACCAGCTACAGTGGAGCAGGCAGTTGCTCTGGAGAGCAATTCACTCTGATGGGAAGGTTTACAAAAAGGCATTCATAAAGTATTTATGCTGGTGGGAAGACGTGCTGTTCTCACCATGTTGTCACAATCCCTGAAAAGACAAAGAAATAATAGTGGTTCTGCCTCCCTCCTGCTGTGAAATGTTCATCTTGGGAGCAGGTTTGAGAAAGGCATGGCTCCTTGTAATGTTGAGGTGGAACGTTGTTAAAAACTGTCATCTCATGTGTTACATCTTCCGGCTTGTCACCGGTTCTACAAGCTTATAGTGATGATGTTCAGAGGAAAGATGGGCCTCGTAGCATCCGAAGCGGATCCTGCTAGCTCAGGCTTTGTCAGAAACTGTTCCTTGGCCTGATTATTCCTTTGAAAAGTCAGCACCTTAGCTGTGGTTGCAGGAGACTTCTTCTGTAGAATTGTTCCTGTTCATCCAGGTTGCTCTTTGGTCTTCTTTTGGCTCCAGCGTGTCATCAGTGGTGGATTGACGAATGGTAATAGCAGTAACAGTAACATCCATCCGTCATTTTTATTGAGTTAATAGAGGCTTTAGGGACGTTATGTGACGTGCCTGAGATCATGCAGCTGCTAAGAAGCCGGAGCCGTGGTTCAAGCCCAGGTGTCTCTGGAAAGACACCAGAGTTCATAGGGAGAGTGGAGGAGGATAGTGGGGAGAGATACACGTGAATAAAAAAAACATATGACATTGTAATCAGTGAACCGTTAGCATGAGAAAAAGGTAGTGCCTGTAGTGTGGAAAGAGAATGAACTCTGGCTTCCGGGAGACACAATACCATACCTTCCTTAGAGGGAGTTTGGATATTACAGGTCCTCAGTTGTGTATCAGGATGTTTTCAGCTGCAGATAACAGAATATGAGTAGAAACTGGTATCAACCATGGGGATTTATGTCTTCGTACGTAACAAGAAATCCAGAGGCAGGCGTTTCTAAGGCAGGTCTGAAGTCTGACTGACTGGTAGCCGGGCACGGGGTTAGTACCTGTGACGGCTGCAGCATCCCTTCCTCTCAGGACAGGGTCCAGAGCGGGGAAGGAGGAGGGTGGCACGTGCTCCTGCCTGTCCTCCTTTCATCCGGGTGGAAAAGCTTTCCCAGAAGCTCCCAGCAGGCTTCCTGTCAAGTTTCATCGACCAGAAGTGGCACATGACCGTGTTCTAGCCGGACTGGAAGAGCAGGTGTCTGGCGTTTGGGCTCTGCGGTGTGGTAGACTCCACCAGTAAGGAAGGCCGGGAAGCATCCGCCTGCCAAGTGTAGAAAGTGCCTTGCACCCAGCAAGTGCTCTCCAGGGGTCGCTGTGAACATGAACATCATACACGGTGCAGCCGTAGAAAGTTCCGAGCACGGGCAGTGCTGAGGTGGTGTGTCAAGGGAGCTGCCCGGCCGGAGCGAGGGCTAGGATTTCAGGAGATAGACAGTACCCGGGCAGGTATTTACAGATAAGGAGACCGATCAGAGTTTGTAAGTTTCCTCACCCCCAGGCTGTCCAGCTTTAGAGCCTGGTCTTTTTAGTCTACACTTCGGGGCAGTGAGTGTGAGCTACGAGTTGAAAGGTGAGTGTGATTTTGACAGGTGAAGAAGGTGATAGGCATTCCAGGCAAAGGGAGTGCCTCATCCTGTAAAGCCAGGGAGGTGTGTGACCATGTGTGTGGTGTGTGTTTGGAGCACGCATGGCTCAGTCTGGCTGCGTTTGAGGACACCAGGGTCTAGTGTGAGAGGGAGTGGGGTGTAGGCCTTGAGATTCGAGCTAAATAATAGAGATCTGAAGTTTGGACCTTGTGTTTGGTTGTGTGATTGTCTTTTGCCAATCACACAACCAAACACAAATACGTGATGGTGGGGCCATCACATATTTTTGAGCAGAAAAAAACCTGAATGGACCGTGTTTAGGATGATAAGCTCATTGGCAGAGGCAACGGGGCAAGGTATAAGGCTGAGCTACAGGGGCAGAAAAGAGGGGGCCAGCGTCTGAGGCATTTTGGAGGAAGAGTCAGCAGTCATGGTTGCCTGACTGGGCAGTGGAAGAGAGAGGCCTTTAGTCTGGCTCCCAGGTTTCCGGCTCCGGTTAGGGTTAGAGGCGAGACCGTCTACACCGGCAGGAAACAGGAGGGAGGGCGGGATTGGAAGGGTTGGGGGGAAAGGTGAAGAGTGGACCGGAGCCTCAGTGGAGAGGTCCCCTGAGGGTTTGGACCTCAGGAGAGAAATCGTGGAGGTTAAGACTGTCACCCGCCCCGCCAGCCCGGTTCTCCTTTGTTCACCCCGAGGCCGGGTAGGATGTGGGGAGTCTCCTCCGTCTCCTCTTTCAGGCTCACTCTCATCTCCCTTTGGGCTCTGGTAGTACCTTAGATAGTTCACAGGAGTAATTTTCATTGTGTGTTGTGTTTCCTCATTATTTAAAACTGTTTTCCAAAAAGTTCCATCCATACGGGCCTGGAGACTATCTATAAATTACTATTTATGTGTGTTTTTATAGGTTCTTCAAACATTTTTGCTTATGGTTCAGAGCTACATAATTCTCTGACATCAGAAATATGTTTCCTGAGGAAGCAGAACGAGGCCCTCAATACAATGCTCGCTAAAGGATCCAGAGGTAAAAACGAGAGGAGCCGTCCGCAGCCTGGAGCTCCACAGCCCTCTGTGGCGTGGAGAGAATGCAGGCGCTGGAGTGAGACCAAGTCCTGTGGCCCTGTGACTTTGGGCAGGTCGCTTAACCTCCCTGAACCTCAGTATGTTTTAGCTGTAAAATAGGAACGCCTCAGAGGGCTGTTGTGACACCTAAGCAGTGTCCAGCCCGCAGCCTGGTGCCTCTGACAGGGGCTTAGTAGGTGCTACTTTCCTTACTTGTCACCCTCCCCTCTGTGCAGCCACCTCTCAGCTTGGCTTAGTTCACAGTGGGAGAGAAGGGCTGGGAATACATTGCTCCCCAAATTTCAGAGATTTCCTGCTGTCAGGCAAGTTTCTCCAGTATTTTAAAGATCGCTTCTTTTAATTCCGTCTGTTTGGAGCTTAACCCACAAAGAGCTTTCACTTAAAATGTTTCTGGGATGACGTTATTGTTAGTCCTATTTTACAGGTGAGAAACTGAGGCTTGGGGAATTGACTGGCCTGCGGCCACAGATACAGAAGGTGGTGCAGCTGGGACTTGGGCCCGTTTATCCCACTTTCACTAGAGGATACTGATGCCGATTCTGGCTTAAGAGATGAAACGGGGGCTTCTGCAGATATCCATTCATTCATTCATTCAGCAAACACTTCCTGGTTCCTCTTCTGTATCACAGCCTGTGTAGATTCTGATACAGAATTGAGCGAGACCCGGTTCCTTCCCTCAGGGGTTCATGGTCTGATGGGAGAGAGAGCCAGGCAACCCATGGCAGACCAGGGTGAGGATTAGCCATGATAAAGGCTCAGGGGGCGCAGGACCCCGGAGAAAGCATCCTGACCCAGGGGAGGCTGGTCTTTAAGAGCTGAGTCTGGAGCATTAGTAGGGGTTAGCTGAGGGACCTAAGGTTAGAAGAGCCAGGGCATTTTAAATAGAAGAGAGAGGACAGAGGCCCGAGGGTTAGAGGCTGGCGGGGGTGGGGGTGGGGAGTCTAGACCAGTCAGGAGTTATAGGAGGCTTAGCATGGCTGCAGTCTGAGGGAAGAGGAGAAAGCTTGCTCGGAGATGATCATGCCGGGGTTAAGAGTAGAATCAGAAAACCTGGGTCTGAATCCTGGTTCTGCCACTTACTGGCTATGTGACTTCGGTGAAGTCTTACGCTCTTTGATCCTTAGTTTCCTGTGTGGAAAATGGGGAGTACAAAAGTACCTACATGGAGGTGTGCCCTGAAGAGCAAGTAGGGTGACACATGGGGAGGTGCTAAGGTAATGACTGCAGTGAGCACGGCGGCGACGTCAGCTGTTACCGCCACCAGCACGGCTAACAGCCTGCCGGAGTGCTGGCAGCCTTCAGCGTGCTGTGAGGCCCTGTGCGAAGCCCTTACATGTAGTGACTCAGTTACTACTCCTGGCCACACATATGAGGAAACTGAGGCACAGAGGAGTGAAGAGCCTGGCTCAAGGTTGTGGGGTCAGCGACCCCACAAGAGTATGGGGTACTCTTGAGTAAACGGAAGAGCCTCACTCCAATGTGCCCCTCTGCCTCCAGGCTGTGCCCTTGACCATTGGTCCCCGTGCCCCCGTGTTCCTCATCCCTCAGCAGGCGTGCTGGCCTCATGGCCTGAGAGTGACGGCTGGGTTGCTGTCCGCACAGCCCTGCTGGCCTCCTTGGGAGGCTTCCGGACTTTCCCAACACCCGTCGCCAGAGTTCGGGGCCCTGTTTCTTGCCTCTGTCTTTAATTTCTACCCACTGTTTGCTCTGGGAAGGCAAAGTAGCTAGGTTTGCACGGCCCATTATTTAGTAGAAGACTAAACGGGCCCATTTCATCCCAGTGATGTTTAATCTGCACCCTAGATGTTGACAGATTTATCTGCCCAAAATGCAGGAGATAATTGGAATGTCACAATCATAAATGCCAGATGAAATCTCGTTCTCTTTTGTATTCTCTGAGCGCTCCAGCCGAAGCGCCGTATTTGCATAATAAGGGTGGAAAAAATAAATGGTGTCTCCTCTCATTGGTGCTTTTTTGTGCACGCAGATAAACAGAAGGAGAATGAGAAATTGCGCGAGTCCCTCTCCAGGAAGACCTCCGGCCTGGAGCACCTTCAGCGGGAGTTCGCCTGTGTGAGGGCGGAGAACGACAGACTGCAGAGGGAGGTGGACGAGAAGGAGAGTCAGAACCAGCGGCTGCTCCGGGAGGTCTGCCACAGCCGCAGTGAGCTGAGCAGGTAGGGGTCAGGGTGCCCCGGCCCTGCCCGGTGCCCGGGGACGGACACGAAGCACACAACACGTGGCACGTCAGGTGGGAATAAAATACGAGGAGCGACGTCATCTAAGGAAGGGGGACGGGGCCTGGGGCGGATTGCTTGTTTTATCCAGGGTGGTTCAGGGCCGGCCTCTCTGAAAGGATGCCATCTGAGTGGCCACCTGGAGGCCGTGAGGGTGTGAGCTCTGCAGGTCCTGGGGGAAGATCCTTTTCCTTGGAAAGGGTCAGGGCCCCGAGGCAGGGTGTCCTTGGCCTGTGCAGGGCAGAGCCAGGACTCAGTGCAGCTAGAGGAGAGGCCGAGGTAGAGGAGGACACGGAGGTGACTGGAGGCCGAGCCCCGCAGGCCCCCGAGGCCTGGTGAGGACCTCGGTTTTCAGGCCGAGTGACTCAGGAAGCCACGGGAGTTTCTGCACAGAGGCGTGCGGGAGTCTGCCTTAGGCTGTGAGCGCATCACGCTGACTGCCCTCTGCGGTCCCCCGGAGACTCCCATCTCGTCCCACGTGTTTCGGCGGTTCCGTCAGCACTCCGGACGCCCCACACCTTTAGTTCATGACCTCGCCCTCACTTCCCCAGGGTGGTGCAGTGATTTGCAAGGTCACTGTCTTCGCCATCACACAGTGCTGGCTTCTCTCCTGCGCTGTGCACCCCTGGGTGAGACATAACCTTATGAGCTTCACTTCCTCATATCCGTGAATTGGGGATTAGAGAGCACATACCTTTTAGGGTGTCTGTGAAGATGACGTGAGATCACGTCTGTAAAGGGCTGGGCCTGGAGGAGCCCTCGGGAAGCAGAGCTGTGAGGGCTACTCCTCCCCATGCTGTCACTCTTGTCCACACTCTCTGGCTGACGGTGGAATTGCCTGCCCTGTGGGTCAAGTAAGCCCCTGCGTGAGAATAACCTCTGCTCCCATGGCGTCGGGGCCTTTCCAGGGTGCAGGAGGAGGTGAAGGTGAGGCAGCAGCTGCTCACGCAGAACGACAAACTACTGCAGTCCCTCCGGGTGGAGCTGAAGGTGTACGAGAAGCTGGATGAAGAGCACAGGAGGCTGCAAGGTACTGGGTGCTCTGGCCTGTGAGCTCCCCCGGACGGCGGGCTGCCCTCTTTCCTGAAACGCTGTTCTGAAACCCCAAGCTTGCCTCCAGGGTAGAGTAGATGGATGCTGAGGCAGGCTCTCTGGGCCACCCTTCTTCTCAGGTGGCAGCGGGAGTCCGGTGAACAGCGGTCTGGGTTCTCACGGCCTCGCGTCCCAGGGTATGCCTTCCACAGGTCACCTCACCCCTTTGGGCCTGCTCCTTCCTCTGTAAAACATGTCTACTAATCTCTGTTGTGTACAGTTGTGAAAATTAAATGAAATCATTTATTAAGAGCGTCCTAGCACAGTACCTGGCACGTAGTAGACACTCACGAAATCACTTTTATGATCATTTTCCTGCTGGTGTGTGTTTGTTTTTGTTTTGCCCATTCATCCAGCAGACAATTATGGAGCACCTACTACGTGCTGATAGAGACGGTTGCTGGCCCTGGGCCTCGCTGTATCCTAGAGAGATACCAGATCAGAGCGACTTGACTGTAAACTCTAGTGCTTTAGAATCTGTTTTGAGGTGTGGTGGGTTTTTATCTTTTTTTTTTTTTTCCGCAACTAATTTTCCAGATGGTTTCTCCCTATTGAAAGTTTATCTAGAAAAGGGTCACCTCTCAGCTCTCATTTTCTCCTCAGGTTGCTTTTCTTATTCTTGCTGTTGTGTCTTTTAAATATACCGTGGCTCTTAAAATCAGCCCTTTCATTATATAATTCCAGCCCAAATAGATTTTATTACTACTAGACATAATTTCAGGGTTTGGTGTGCAATTTGTCAGGCCTTTATGGCCAGAAGCGAAAATTAATTTCCAGCTCTTATTTAGCCTGTGGAATAGCAGCAATTAAGTCTGCGAGGACTTTTGTTTTTCAGGTCGAGTTGTTATGTTCCATGGCACCTAGGTCTTGGGCGGGGGAGGGTGGTGATGGCAGCGGTGGAAAGCGCCGTCACTTGTCTTCGGTGGCTGACCCTCTGGCGGTTGACAGTGTCGAGGCTTCCCTTTGCTTGTGTTTGCAGAGACCAGGGCAGAGGCATCGGGAGAAGGCTGGAAGGGGCAGGACCCTTTCGGCCACCTGCATGGCCTCCTGACAGAGATCCAGGCTCTGCGGGCGCAGCTGGAAAGGAGCATCGAAACCAACAGCACGCTGCAGAGCAGGCTGGAGGAGCAGCTGGCACAGGGCGGGGAGAAGGCCCAGGAGGCAGATCTCACTCTGGCCCTCCAGACGCTGTCTGTCCCCGAGCGGCCCCAGCAGCTGGACAAGCCCGGTACTGCCCTGCCTCGCCTCACTGTTTGAAATGCAGCCCTGCGCGTCTGTGCGGCACGTGTGAGCTTCTGAATCCCGCCCTTGCCCCATGGAGGTGTCTTCTCACTGACAGCAGACGCGCCGTGTACCCTGGGAGCTTGGGACCTGACCGCTGAGTAGCTGTCACCTTTGGCAAAACGGTGTCATCTGTGGGGCCTGCTGATTCTCAGGGCAGTGGGGTTTGGGCTTCCAGCGCCCTTATCGCCTCCAGTCCTGCTGTCTGCCACCCCCTTAGTCCTGTCCACATGATCTACTGCTGAAAATCCTTTTCAGTCCCTCTTAACTGCCTTTAAAAGAGCATCTTCACCTCTCCCTCCGGTTGTCAGCATCTCAGGATCTCAAAAGCTTCCCGGCAGGTTTGAAAACTGGTTCAGTTTGGCGTTTACCTCTGGCTTTACCGTCTAGCCCTGCAGAGGCTGTGTAGGGAGGAGAAGGAGGACAGACTGGGCCTCGTCTGCCCGACTCCTGCCTAGGGCCGGGCGTAAACCGGCAGGTGGCCAGGCTCAAATCAGTCAGCCAGGCCATCGTCTTTGCTCTTTGGATGAAGGAACTAAAACCCAGAGAGGGCACTGGACTTGCCCAAAGTGACACAGCAAGTAGGTGGCAGAGCTGGAGCTAGAAATCATTTCCAGCTCCGGGTCCAGTGCTGTGTCTGAAGTACCACCTGGCCTTCAGGAGCCCTGGTGTCTGGGGGTCATCATCCCAATGCCCAGGTGGACGGGTGTGCGCATCCAGGGCACGAGGAATGCCAGCAGACTTTATAAACAAGTAGTGTAGAAAAGTTTGGACTTACCTTTACTTAGATTGGGAATTACATCTGTTGCCTTTAATTAAAAAAATTACAAACTCTCAAAGAGCACCTAGTCACCCAGCTCTGGAACTTACAGTGACTCGCTCATGGGTTTCTCCTTGGTAAGGATTTTAAAATTTGAACCAAAAAGATGATGTGACGATATGGAAAAAAAAAAATCCTTCATGGTAACAAAATAATAATTTTTTGCTTTGTATGTGTCTTTTCATTTGGTAATCAAATGTAGGTGTGAATTTATAATGTTCAAATTGGTTTTGGGGCCATTCTGTGTCCTTTCTTTGTTTTTGCCCAACATTACATCATAAATGTTTTCCCTTGTTTCACACGGGCTTCCTAATTATTGTTTTCAGATGATTGTCAGTCACCAAACCATTACCCTGATGATTATTAAAGAGGTCTCTGATTTGGAGCTTTAATAGACATCGGCGTTAACACGCTTTTTCTGTTGAACAGTATTCTTAGGATGAAATCCTGCAAGGGGAACCTCACAGGGCTGGGAAGGGGCCCTACTGCCGCCTTCTGCACAGGGGATACATCGGCAGTGGGCCTTGCCGTATTTAAATAGGGGTCTGCTCTGCTCCTGGCCCTTCTTAGGGCTTTGAGGAGATGGGACCGAGGAGGTTGTCGATGTGAGCTAGGGAGATTGAAGCAGGGAGAAGAGTTCAGTGATTGGGGCGCCCAGGAAGGAGCTTTGGGGCAGTTGAAGTGAGGCCGTTGAACAGCCTTTGCCTGTTTTTGAAGTTTGTCCAGGGTCAGCCCTGGGGCGGGGGTGGGGGTGGGCGGTCTCCAAAGAGGCATCTAGGAGGATGTGCTCAAAATTCACAGCGCCGTCTCCGTGGAGAAGTTTTCCAGTTTCCTCAGGTGAAGCCTAGAATTATACAGTAGGCAGCAGCATTTCTTCCTTTGCACAGGACTTTTCAGGACGGTATTTAAATGCAGTTGTCTGAAAGTTCTGGCCTAAAGACTGCTGTTTCTGCAGGAAGTGATCGCTCTCGGGCCAGCTCCACAGAGCTGAGCCCCGGGCGCCTTGGCCCCAAAGTTGAAGTGCACTCTTTGGAGGGGCCTGGGTGGGGAGCAAGCTGGGCAGGACACCTTGAGGCCTGGACACAGTCCTCTCTCTGCCACGGACACTCTGGGTGATGCTAGGCAGATCACTTCCTGTCTCTGCCCATTGGTCTCCTTTTCCAGGAAGCCTGAATTACAGTGCCATCCTGCCCCCGAGCTACTGAGAGTTCAGATGTGAAAGTGCTTTCCTGAATTATAGAGTGTGGCCATCACCTCGTGCCGCATGTGCCTGGTTTTGCCTCCTTGCATTGTCTCGAACGCATCCCCTCCCAAATCCTACTTCGGGTCACTCTTCTGTCTTATGTGGGTTACTGCAGCCGCCTCCAGCCTCACTCCTCCAGCCCAAAACAGGTCTCAGCCTGACATTGTCCCGCCTGACGTCCCCCACTTCATGCCCCCTGAATGCGTCACGAGGGCTCCCTCCTCTGTGCCTTGGCATCTGCTCCTTCCTCTGCCTACATTTCTGTCTCTCCTCAGGTTACCCCCTCACTTGAGCTCCCACAGGCCCCGTGCCTCCCTCCCTTGGCCCTGACCCCTGAGGGGAAACAGCTTGTTTACTTGTCTGGACAAGAGGGTCCTTCCGGGGAGGCAGCCGGGCCTGCTCCCTCTGTGTCCCCCGTGTCCCACGCAGGGCCTGGCGGGAGAGATGCCCAGTGAGGATCTGAATGAATGCTTGTGTGTGTCTGGTGCCTCGCTGTGTTTTCATTCAGTTCTCTCTCAAATGCTGATGAGAGCGAAACTAAAACGTTTGCTGGTTTATTTCCCTTATTTTGCATTTTGTAGGTGGTGACAAGTGTCCCGTGGCAGCTGACAATTCATATGATCTGTTTGATTCCACCCCAGCCGTGCCGCCAGGATCAGGTACAAAGCTAGAGGCTGGGTAGCTGTGGCACAGTTGGGTTTGGCAGTGGGACTTTTTAAATTGGAGGGAAGGGGGGTCCCTGGTCCCAACTCAGCAGGGTATTTGGCAGGATTTGGGGGGTTGTGTTCTCAGCATTTCTAGCTGGCAATCTCGTTCTCCAGGCCCAGGTGTTACCAACCTTAGCGACATCATTGGTTTCGCTCCCTGTTGTCCTGGTTTAAAGTGTGACTGCCTTATCGTGGCTTTCAAGGCCCTGCAGCATCCAGCCCGAGTGGGCCCGTCCAGCCACACCCCTCTGGCCTCCTGGTGCCACACGGATGGGTCAAACCGTCCTGCGGTTGGGCCTGCACTTCCCTGTCACTGGGACTGTGCAGCGTGGCCCCCGCCTTTGCCAGACCGACTTTGCCCACTTCTGTGCCAGTGAAGATCCTGTTGCTTCCCGAAGACTCATCCTGAATGCAAACTGCCCAGGGAAATGTCTTTCCTCATGGCCCCGGTCCGAATTATCCATCCGTGCTTCTGTTGATCCAAAGGTGGAAAGCGGCAGGCTTTTACCTCTGTGTAGCATAATTCTTGCTACCCATTCAGCCCAGCGCAATTGTCGCTTCTCCTAGGAAGCCGTCCCTTCCCGCACAGAGGCTTGATTATTCTGTCCACTGAGCTCTGGCTCTTTGTCGTCACGCTGTTACACCTCCCACACGGCATCTGTGTTCCGATTAGACCACGGGCCCCTGAAGCGCAGGCCCAGGCCTGATTCGTCTGTGTGAATCAGGGCTCTTCTGCAGAGCCGGCGCCTGATGAGTGCTGGTTGGATTGAAATGAGCTTCTCCCACAGGATGAATAAGCCTACGGCGGCTAATACACAGACTGAGGTCCTGGCTCCAGGCCTCCTTCCCCTCGGGGCTGTGTCAGGTGGCATTTGGGCCTGAGGGCTCTCAGCCCTCCTGGCTGGCTAGACATCGTTGAACGCAGCTCATCGAATGCAGGGTGCCGCCCCAGATAGGTCTGACGTCTTCCTTCTCGTTCTGTAGCTTCAGAGACTCCTCCACTCTCTGGAAATGACATGGATGCCCTCTCCTGCGACAGTGGCAGCTCGATCACCAGCGCCTCAAACATGTGCCGCCTGGTCCCTGGCCACCGCCTGTGGGCCAGCAAGAGTGGCTGCCACGTCCTGGGCCTGATTGAGGACTACGGTGCCTTGTGCGAGCAGATTGGCCGGGGCCAGAAGCTCCTCGCCGAGATGGACGTTCAGATCCAAGAGTCTCCCAGCCCCACGAGTCAAGAGCTGGCAGCAAAGGTAACCTGAGCGACAGAGCTGGAGGGAGAGGGATGCACAGCGGGGCAGGAGGTGGAAGGTGTTGGCCGAGGGCACTGGGGGCGAGGGGCTCACGGGTCCTCAGTAAGGCCCTGGGAAGAGGGGCCAGGGAGCATCGCGCACGAAACTCGTGAGGTCGGGTCCGGGCTGCGAGGCTGCTCGTTGTTCTGCGGGAGGGACACCGCTGAGGTCTGTGCCTGTGTTACCGCGGTCGCTTCGCTGGGCTCCGCTGCACTGCCCCTCCACGGCCTGTCCAGTGTCTCGTCCATCCCTCTATCCTTCAGTCCTGCAGTGTGTCCATCCCTTCTCCCACCCAGTCACCTGTCCGTCGCCCTCCTGGCCTCCGTGCTCAGGCTCTGGGGCTGCTGTGGTGAACGGGGTGCCTGAGGTCCTGGTCCTCACGCAGCGTGTGGTCTGGTCCACCACGCTGCCATCTGTGATGCGCTTGCCGCCGCGAGCCATCCTGCAGCCGCCTCAAGATGGTTGGCGGCCGCTGTTCTTGCACAGGACCTTTTAGGATCGTATTTCCTTTCATCCCAGAGCAGCCTTTACAGTGGGTGATGTCATTCCCGCTGTGCAGGTGCTGAGGGAGAGTAGCTCAGAGCGGTCGGATTTGAACCCAGGTCTCTGTCCGCCAAGGCGCTCTCTTTCTCCGTCATCCTGCTCCCTGAAGAGCGTTGCAGGTCACCCCCCTCACCTGTGCGGGCACCTCCGCCTCCCGCCGGCGCCATGCAGACTCCAGGGGAAACATGCGTCTCGCGTCGCTTGCCGTTGGCGTTGTTCACCTTCCGGAGAGGCTCCGTGGCTGTGGGGACCCTCTTCTTGGCCCAGTAAATGGAGTGAACTCAGGCGGCCATTAATCATGCTTACTGACCGGGCTAACGTCACCACCGAAGTTCTCTCATAATCTATAAGTCACCGTCTTTTAAGAACAATGAATTGGTGTCGCCCGGCAGCAGGCTCTCGCCTGGCGTGCGGAGCACAGGCCCTGCGGTCTGGGGATTTATGCTGCCCATTAAAGCTGGCTCGTCCATAATCTTTTTCAAGACCGCACGTAACAGCCTTCTCGTCCCCCCCCGCAGCGTCCACACTCGGCGCCCCTGAGCAGCTTCGTCACCGGTGTCGGCGCAGCCAGGCTGACCCTGGATGAGGCCTCGAGGTTACTGACGCTGCTCTGGAGGGTCTCACTGCCCACCAGTGGCCAGTGCACGCTCCACTGTGAACAGGTGGGTGGTGGCACGTGCGGGCAGAGGCTCGAGGGTGCCGCTGGGGCCTGTGTCTCAGGCTTCTCCATGTCCAGCCCGGGACCTGGCCTCCAGCAGGTGTGCCCTCAGTTTGGGGAAGGTGGCGGGGGGCAGGGAGGGCGCCATGTTGGTCGAGTGACATGTCCGACACCGCGCTGGCTGCTCCAGGCCGGTTCTGACCTGATCCCCTGGGGCCCTGCAAGCTTGGCCTGCCGTCTGGACCCGACCGTGTCCCCACCGCCAGCACATCTTTGTTGAGGGAAACGCTGTCCATGTTCTACACGTCAGGAAACTGAGGTTCGGGGAGTGGGGCACGTACTCAAGGGTGCAGAGCTGGCTTTGAAGGCACAGGTGTTGAATCCCAAGGACAGGCTTTGATTCATAGCTTTAAGTCCCAGGTTTTCCTCGTGGACTAGGTCATTCCATTCTGCTCAGAATGTCTTTCATTTCTGATGCCTTTCGATGGCTCTCAGCATCCTATTCTAGTGGGGTTTGTAAATCTATTTTAACTACTTAGAAACTACTTTTTTTAACCAAACAAAATCATTTATTACAAAACCATTGAAATTTCCCTTAAAAGCTAGACGTTGCAGTAACTTGAACATGACTGAATTAAGAACGGTTGCTCCCATCTCCATCTGCATCCCCATCTGACATGGCGCAGAGCAGAGCCTGTCCCCCGGGTCTGTGTGTGGCAAACATGTCGTATTATGACAAGGTGAGCACCTGCTCTGATAATCAGGGAAACCTCCCTGGAAGAAGGAGCCTACTTGTTAAGGAAGAGTTAGAGCTCTTTGCTTGGTGGCCTGATAGATATTTCCCCCTTTATCTAACCTATAAATTTTTACCAAAGGCCATCAGGAAGGCAGAAGGGAAATGTGCATTCCACGTCGTCACTCATCTAGTTCACCCCTCTGACAGCTCTCAGATCTCCCAACCATGGCAAAGGAGTAGCAGTGAAGCAGCTCTCTCACCTCGGAAGGTTCTGCTGAGCCCGTGCTTAGGTTTCTGTCTTGGGATCCTGGGGAGGAAGTTTGGTGCCGTAAACTCGGGGAAGTACACGAGCAGTCATTGTGCAGGGAAATCTGTACACGGAGTGGAAGACGGCGTGTTGGAGAGGAAGGGCGGCCCACTGGGTTCCAGCCCCACACTGGCCTTGCCTTTCCTCCTAACCCACCAAGCTCTCTTCCATCTTGAGCCCAGAAGGCACAGGTGCTCTCTCCTGGCCGACTGGCTCCTTCTCACCTCTCAGGTCTCAGCTCAAATGTTACTTCAAGGTCAGAGAGGGTTCCCGGTCACTTTATCATAGCATCCTCTTCTGCTTCATCCTAGCCGTTATCACAAGTTATAATTACACACTTGTCGGTTTAATGTCTGTGCCCCTCTGTTTTCCACGAGGGGCCATGTCTATTTTGTTCATATTTTTGAATGAATGAATGAGTAATTTCCTTTCATCCTCCCAAACTGGTACTTGCCCATATGATTTTTTTTTCCCCATATGATTTTTAAAGCATGTGTCTGAACTAAACATTTCACCCTTGATGCAGTGTTTTTGACCTCAGTACATAGTAATGTCTGTTAAATAGATGGAATGCACTTCTTATTTCTATTATGTGAGTGTGTATAAATGCAAATTAGAGTCACATTGATCTCCCCCGCTAGCAAATTAGTCTAGGGACTGGTCAGTGCCTGTGATGATTTGCCCCTTATTTCCGAGGGTTTCTCGGGTAATTGATTATGCTCACTTTAGCATCACAGAATTTTAGAGCCAGAAGAAGGACCTTGGAGTTGCTCTGATATGGCTGCTGGTGTACACAGACCCCTGTGTGGTGTTAAATTGCCTCTAGCCACTTTTCTGTCCCCGTCTGTGTTTCATACAGTGCCTTTTTCTTGGTGTGAAATCTGTCCAAAGCAGATTTCCAAGTTTCCACCAGCAGCTCCAGTGGTTTTTTACTACCTGGTGTTTTCTCTGAGTGTCATTAAATTGCCTTTTGCATCTCCTACAGTCAGTCCCTGGGACTACTCTGGAAAGTGTATATCATATATATCAGTTTATCTAAGAAAGTTGTGGGGAGAGATACAAATATGTACACATATTCATTTATAAAAATGTTTTTAAGTGGAAGGATGAACAGTCACAGAACAGTCTACGTGTAGGGGTGGGAAGGAAGAGGATGGAAGGACAGGGATAGAGGGTAGACTTCTCTGAATTGACCTTGTTTCATAAATTTGACTTTGAAACTGTATAAATGCTTTACATAATTATAAATAAAAATAAATCCACTTGACAGATGGTCTCACAGCACCTACTCCATGGCAGATGCTGCGGGTCAGAGGGAAGAATTGAGTTCTGCCCTCAGGGAGCTTGTAGTCTAGGAGGGGAAGCAAACAAGTAAATGACCAGTTATAATCCACCATGAAACGGGCAACGTTAGAGGAAGCACTGGGCACGATGGGTGCCCAAAGGAGCAGTAACCAACCTAGACTCCTGGTAGAGAAGGGTCTGAAGGAGACCTGGAGGGGGTCATGCCTGAGCTGACTTTAGAAAGAACAATAGAAAGGTTAGCCAGGCGAGCTGAGCAATCATCATTCTCCCCGTCTTCAGGCATCCTCTCATCTGAGTCTCACTGTACTGCAGTGTGACGAGAGGGTCAGGCATCATCCCTGTTTTACAGATGTGGACCTAAAGCTCTGAATGTAGAGTGACTTTGTCCCAGAATGTGTGGCCTACAGCCACCACCAGCACACAAGCCTCCGGGCTCAGCTTGAGGAAGAATCAAAGAAGACCTTATGTTTAAATTAGGGTCTGTTTGGGAAGCACAGTTGAAGTCCTTGTAGCCGACACAATTGGTTAATCTTAAAAGTAGGTTAAAGTAGGGAATCAAAAAATGATACATACCTTAAACATTTCAGTTTAACTTAAAACAGGTAAATGTACATTCATTTGCCACTCTTTTGATGTAGGGCCAGGGCCTTTTCTTTGAATATGGGTCTGCTGATTGAAGTTCCACATCTTCTTTCTTTCATAAACTATATCCATAATGTATGTCTGTCACTTCCAATTTCCGTTTCTTTAAGATGAAGAAAAAACTTAGGCACTTGCAAAGCAATTTGAATATAGAATCCTTCTAGACTGTGTTCCTCCCACATCTTTTATTCACCCACACCTAATTCGCCAGAAATGTGGTGTTTTTAGTGACTCGTCTTTATCAAGTGTTTCCCGAAACATATGTTAGTTTTCATTCAACCGGTTCTCTCTTTTCATACACATAATTCATAGGTTTACTTAATACTTAATTAAATCATATAACTGATTACAAGTACAACAGCCATAAACAAGTTTGGGGACAAACTAAAGTGGCTCTTCGTAAGCTGACAGCCCAACATCTCCCCTCTTGGGAGCAGAGGTATTTCAGTGTAGCACAGGGTGGCCTGTGCCGGGGTATCTCACAGTCCAGGTATTTTATGAGAAAGGGAGTGTCCTTAACCCCGTGAACTAGTTCAGTGGAGATTGGTTAAGACGGCCGCGATGGTGTTCACATGTTCACTTCAGGGGTCTGGGGACTCTCGTTTTGCCACCCATCCACTCTCCTCACCTCTGGAAAATCAACACAGGTTCTCCTAATAGATCATACTCCCCTAATAATACCTTTATGTTCTCTTTGTGTAAAGTAGACTGCTAGTGGGAACCCTGCTGTAAAGCACGAGAAGCTCGGCTCAGGGCTCGGTGATGACATAGGTGGGTGGGAGGGAGGGAGGCCCAAGAGGGAGGGGATATATGTATACGTACAGCTGATTCACTTCATTGTACAGCAGACACTAATACAACGTTGTAAAGCAGTTATACTCCAATTAAAAAAAAAAAAGATTTAAGCATTAAAAGAATACCAGCATTATAGTTTTTGGGAAAAAACCCCTCAATGCTGGTAAATTAAGAAAGTGATTATTCCAGATCCCATCTCTCAGAACTAAAACACCATAAACATTTTCGTGATGTCTCTCTCATCAAATAGTTTAGACATCTTGATATACACACCTATGGATAGAAATATATGTGTTCAATTTTACGGAACAGGAGTGCGTGGCGCTCAATAGCTGTTCTGGGCATTTTTGTCACTAATTATGATCATCTTTCAATGTCAATAAATGAAGTTCTACGGCATCATTTTTAATAGCTGCAGAATCATTCCATATTATGTAAGTACCGTAGTTGAGTTATCTAAATCCCCATTGAAACAAATCAGGTGGTTTTTTTTTTGTCCTGCGGTGAGCAGTGCTGAGGTGAACATCCTGGTGCACAGGCGTCTTCTCGTGCCTGCGTTACCATTCCTTGGGGTAGATGCCCAAGTGTAGAATTGCTGGGTCAGAGGGTTGAGCACGTTTTACATTCTGCTGCGTCTCGCCGGGCGTGGTTCCACCTGGGCTGTGCCAGTGCACAGCTGCACCAGCAGTCGTGAGAGGGCTTTGCCCACACCCTCCCCACCATCTGACCAGCAGAGCAAGCCTAGAAAACTAGGCTTCTAGTTTTTATTCAGACACCTTTGTTTGTAAGGTTGAGCACTTTTTACGTGGTTTTGTAATTCTTCCTCTATGATCTGACGTTTATATTCTGTGTTCATGTTTCTAATTCCCTTTCTCTTTAGACTGGAGAGTTGAAGGCAGAGATCAGCAAACTACACAAAAAATTGTTTGAACAAGAAAAGAAGTTGCAGAACACCATGCAGCTGTTGCAGCTGAGCAAGAGCCAGGAGAAAGTCATCTTTGACCAGCGTGAGTAGCTGGGCGGCGGCCACCACGGCTGACCACTGCCTGCCTCTGAGGACCAAAACCCCAGCCCTGGGCTGTCCTCACACCTCCTGCTTATGGGTTTCCTTTCATACTTCACCCATCCTGACCCGCCCAGACAGATGAATTCCCTTAACAGACCTCTGTGGTGGGGCCGCTCCGTGCCAGGGACTGTCACCTCCCTGGGGAGACAGGTGTGTGGCGTGCAGTGACGGGAATATGTGTAGGGGCTCGGGGAGCACTGAGGTGGGATGGGGAGGGGGTCACTCTGTCCTGGGAGGTGCCTTCTTGGACGAAGAGACACCTGACCTGAGTCTTCAAGGAGGAGTCGGTGTTGGTCAGGTGGACAGGGAACAGTGTGGGCAAGGGCAGAGGGACAAGGAGTGAGACTGCCTGTGAGGAAAGCCGACAGCAGCTCATGTTGCTGGAGTTGGAGCTGCCCGTGGCAGGTGGAGGTGGGAGGGGCCTGGGGCACCGGGGCCGCCGCGTGAGAGGCCTCGGGTGGGAGCCGCTCCAAGCGGACTGTCCATCTGCGTTGAGAAGGGCTTGCTGGCGGCCGGTCCAGGCAGGTGAGGAGGGCCCGCGGCCGGGCGGTGGGATCCAGAGGAGGGCACCGATTTGAGAAAGACACTCCTAGACAGACACGGAAACGCAAGGCCGGAGACATCCAATGACGCTTGTAAGGTGGCCCCAGCCCTGGCCCGGGGGCTTCAGAGGCGCAAACCCCCTGCCCGCTTTCAGCCCCCGGCACCCGTGCCCTCGTGCGCGCGGCGGAGCCTCCTAGCAGCACAGGCCCCGCCAGGCCTTGGGTGGCCAGGCCCTCACATCCCTGAGTCACGAGGGGCCTCGTGGACCAGACCCGAGAAGGAGCCGCGGGGCTCGCGGCGTCCGTCGAGTGTTAGGTCCCCTTGGCTGAGCACGGAGGGCCGGGGGGCGGGGCGGGGCTGAGAGGGGGTGAGGAGGCGGCCCTGGCAGACCGGTGGGTGTCCGTGGGGTTCCGCCTGGGGGTTCAAGCCACTGGCAGAGAAGAGGAGCGCTGGAGGCGGCGGGGTGTGGGGAGAGCCATCGAGGCCGTGCCTGAGGTAGCTGTGGGCCAGGTGGGTCCGGCCCCGGGAGCGGCTCTTGAGGAGGTGGGAAGCGGGCTTCTGTACAGCCCCCAGGTCCAGGGAACACTGGCGCGCTCGGCGTTGGCGTTGCCCTGTAGCCGGTGTCCCAGGCAGTCACAGGGAACATGAAGTTACCCCTGTTTGCAGGTGAGCATATTTCGGAAGTAGGTTCAGATGGGTGAGTTACCACGGCAGGTCCAGAGGACAGAACCCAGCCCTGAGTCCCGGGTCGCTGAGCCTGCCATCGTCAGTGAGCGCAGCTCAGATCTCCGCTCTCCTGCGTGACCTGGAGTAAATGACTTGAACTCCCCAAACCCCGCCAGCCTCCCAGGGCCTGCTCTGGCTCTAAGGGACTGAGTGGAAGTTGGGTAGTGTCCCCTCCTCTCCCTTCCCCGCCTGGCGACGAGGAAGAGCAAGGGCCTGGGGCTGCTCCCTGCCTGGGCCAAGGCGAACACTCCAGCTCCTCCCAGAGTCCGCAGGGAGAGGAGGGAAAGGATGACCGTGAGACCCTCCCCACGTGACCTGGAACCGCCCACTTCACTTCCCGCCTGTAGACGGGAATCCCTGGGGGGTGTGCACTGAGGTCACAGCTGGCAAACCACCTGTCACCGCTGGACACCACTGAGGCTGGTGTCTTCCTTGCCAGTGCCCTGCTGAGGTGGGAAGAGCAGGCGCTGAGTCAGACAGACCTGGGCTCTAGTCACGCCTCTGCCTGGGGCCAGCCGTGATTTGGGACGAGCTCTTCCCCGCTCTGTCCCTCGGGCTTCTCATCTCAGTGGGAGTTTCTTGCTCTGAACGTGGGCAGTGCTGTTCAGACGTGGGGCCCCTTCACACTTGCGCCAGGTGAGACTTAGCTCGTTCCGTACTTTTAGTACTGTTTTAACATTATTTTTAACCTCCACAGCCATGGTACCGAATCTTTTCCGGGTCACAGGCTCCTTGGCGAACCTCAGGAGAGGGGATCTCTCTCCCCAGAAGGATGCACGCATCCTTGTACACACAGAGATTTGCACATGGTTTCTGAGGATTTAGGACGCTCCAACACATAGCCTTGGGCCCAGCTTAAGAATGTCTGCCCTGCGGCGTGGGGCTGGGGAAGGGCACAGAGAGGCAGTGGACACCTCTGAAATTCACTTTGCCCAGTTAAAAACAAAGCCCACACCATCTGTCGCCTCCCGCGGTGTCACAGATTGCAAACAGACTTCGTTGCCTCCAGATGGAAATTTTCGTGAGGCAAGAAACATTTTCTCAAGGCCACCACACGGCACCTATTCGAATAAGCCGTTGGGCAGCTGGGCCGTGTGTACCGACAGGGAGACTGTCTCAGCCTTGGGCCCCACTGGCCAAAGGCCCAGTTCCAGAAGCCTGTGTGTCCTCCCTGGGGGTAGCCGGAGTCCCTGGCCATCACCAAAGCCTGTTTAAGGTGGATCCCTTATTGGGCCGATCTCCCCTCAGTGGCGGCATTCCTGCTGCTGCTGGTGTTTGTTGGACAAGACACGGACTGAGGGAAGAAGCCACCTTACTTTACAGTTGCTGCCCTGAAAGCGGGCACTCTCCCCCCACCCCCCGCCCCCCCGTGGGTTCTGATGCGCTGGGGATCTGCCTCACGCAGCTCGGAGGGCATCAGTCAGATCACAGGGACCTGTGAGATCATCCCGCCCCGCCCGCTGCTGTCCAGGTAGAGTGTGCCTGGCCCAGGGGGCCACTGGAGGGCAGCTCAGGAGAGAGATGCCCACGGTTCGGTCCTCCTCCCCGCCATCAGGCCCCCGCTCCCAGGACTGCTGTGCCCTCAACCCCCGACTTGGCCTTCACGTGTGGGTTTGCTTGGAGCGGGCGCACCCCCTTCCCAGCGCTGCTTCTCCGGGGGGCTGAGGGGCCCTAGTCAGGTGCAGGCCTCTCCCCTGCCCGGCACCACGAGCCCAGCCCGCAGAGGCGGGCCCTGGGGGTCCCACTGGCCCTGCAGAGCCTCAGTTTCCGTCTATGACGTGGTGTCGCTCTCTCTGCCTTCTAGTATCGCCGAGGTTGTGGCTTAGCCTGGACTTGAGGAGGGGTCTCTGGTCCACCCTCTCTGATGGGTTATTTGATGCTGGGATGTGTGATGGGGCAGGTGGGGCCTTACACGTCTGGGTCTGGATGCTCCAGGGCTGACCACACGCCTGAACCATGTGGGGCTTGGGGGCTCCTCCCTGCGTTTGGCTTTTACACTGTCTTCCTGGGCCTCTATGTCTAATCATCCCGTTCTTTGCTCTTTCCTTAGTGGTTGTTACGCACAAAATCCTTCGGAAGGCCAGAGGAAACCTGGAGGTGATGCCCCTTTGAGAAAGCCATTTGGGGGATGGGAATGGGTGTGGGGCTGGCAATGACTTCTTTTGACAAACGAAGTTGAAGGTGAAACCCGGTCACGTGTTCTCTGTCAGTTGTATTTTTCTGCCAGCAGCGCGTGAAAAGTTTCGTTTCATCGTGCCGTGTTTTTGATGGTGGTTCTAATTATTGGTGTGCTGTTTCTTACCAGTGAGAAATACAGCAGACGATGCCTGGCCCATAGTAGGCGTTTGATAAATATTTCATTATCATCTGGTTCTATAAATATTTACTGATCAAACAGTATGTCTTTGAAAGTAGTTTCAGAATAGCATTCTCACCATTAATTCTGTCAGTAATCTTACTCCAGAGACCCTCCGTGGGACCTAAAATTCTCATTTTTTCCCTCCCTTCTCCTAGCTTAGGCCCGGGAGTGCCCATCCTGGAACGTCCAGTCCCAGCAGGCCAGGCTCCTGAGGAGAACTTCCAGCCAATAAAGCTCGTGGTTCCCCACTTAGCTCGTCCTGTCTCTTTGTTACAAGCGTGGTTCCCGCTTACTGAGGGGAGAAGGGCTGTCTGGCCAAAGGAGACCTATCTTTCACCTTAAGATTGGCGTGGAGTTGTTGTCAGATAGGGTGGGAGCTTCCAGGCGCCGGGCCTCTCACGTCCGGGGCCGGCGCGGAGCTGAGGCATTACTCTCAGGCACGGGGGTGGGCTCGCGTTCCCCCCGCCGCCTCCCCTGGATTTGCTTGGTGCTCAGCCAGCCCCGCAGCTGGAAGATGCTCATTTAACGACTCGTTCAACCTGGTGATGCCGTTATTTTGTGCAGAGCCTGGGGGTCTTGGGACTGGCGTGGCCCTCAGAGGTCGCCTGAGCTCTGTGCTGAGCCACCCAGTGTCCAGAGAGGAACGATGCCACGTGGTGTGGCCAGGGTGCCGGGGCGCCCTCGGCACTGCACAGTGACGGCACAGTGACGTCCGGAGCAGCGCCCTGCGGGGGTGCCGTGCCCAGCGTGGGAAAGACCCAGCGGGGCCTGGGGCGGGGACTTGGCATCGCAGTGTCCTGACGGTGGTGGTGGTCTGTCCTCCCCGCTGTCCTGCCTGGTGCATTGGCCACACCTGAGCTGCATTTGTCCTGCCCGAGCTTCACAGCGTCCCCAAGAAGTGAACAGGGTAGGGCTTGGCCCCAGGTTCAGATGAGCCTGCAGACTGGCCCAGGGCACCCCAAGAGGCACTGACCGAGGGGGGCTCCCCGGCCATGCCCTGACGCGACACTGCACGCCCAGCTCTGCTCTCTCTGCCTCACGGCCCCGTGCCCACCACCTCGGAGCCACTGAGCAGCCGGGCAGCTGGGCCTCGTTTGTCAGCCCACAGCTGGGAGCATTTTGAACCCTGACTGGGTCTCTGTCCCTCTTCCTGCCCTCGTCCTGGGCCTTTCTGCATCCACCCTGGTTTGCTCTCCCTGTGCATCACTCGTGCTGACATTCTGCCCTCTGTCCACCGCCTCCTGTCTGTCAGCCTGCTCACTCCCTTGTCCCCCCCCTCTGCTTGGACCGCTTGGAGATCCTCGTCTCTGCTCCCTTTACCTCTGTCTCCGGCCACAGGCTCCTTTCTGTGGTTCCTTTTCCTTTCCCGGCTGGTCCCTCCTTGGTCCTGCAGCAGACCAGGTGTAGAGAGGAAGCGGGTCTGACCACCGTGCCGTCCCGCCCTCACCCCTAACAAGTCCCTGGGGCCCCGGTCTGCTGCTCGCCTCGCCCCCTTGCCTCCGCGCTCCAGGCAGACCGCGTTGACTCCAGCTCCGGGGAGCTTCCCAGCCTCGGCCCGGGACGCTCCCTCTCTGGAATGATCTCCCACCATTCGCTTGCCGAGGCAGCTCCGAGTGGTCCTTCAAGAATCCGCCCCCACCGTGGGGTTGCGGAGTGACGCGGCTCCATCGCGCAGTCCGGCGCGGTCTGTGGGCGCCCCGCCCCACCCCCGTGACCTCCCCGGAGGTGGGGACTCTGGGGAGGTCAGGACCACTCCCGTGTTCACAGGACAGCCGAGTGACCCGTCCAAGGTCCTTAGCTTATGAGTGGTTGGTAGGGCCGGGCCTTGACCCCTCCTGTCCTTCCAAACCCCGACCCGCTCTGCGCTGCCGCCCCTGCAGCTCCCGAGGCACGACGGTGACCTGAGGTGATGTGATTGCATCAGCTGGAGGCAGGGGGCGTAGGGGAGCAGAGGCCGGGCTGGGAGTCGGCCTGGGCCTCTCATCCCAGGGCCGCACCTCTTCTCTTACCCATCAAGTGATGGGTGGGTACGTGGTCAGTAAGGACCTTCTCCGCTTGGGTTCCTGTCATGGCGCTGCGGAGGGAGCGGGAGGCCGGGATCTAGACCCGAGTGGGTCTAGACGCTTCTGTTACAGGTCTCTACACCTGTGAAATGGGGATTACCTTTCAGCCCAGACCTGCTCACACGGGGTGAACCTGTGTAATTTGGAAATAGCTGAACAAGAGCCTTTCCAAAAATCAGTGACTCTTCTTCAGTGGCTAGCCTCAGGCGAGTTTCGGAAGCACTGTTTTAAGTTCCCATGGCTGATGTGCACAAACGCACGAGTGTAAGTGGGGGGTAGGGGTGGAGTTGGGGGTTAGGTGGTGTAGTGCAGTGGTCAGAGCTCAGGCTAGCCTTGGAAGCCAGACCCCGATTCAGATGCACCCACAGTTAGTGCCTGCTTCATTGCTAGTTCTGAGTATATTGCCTGGCACGTGGTTGGCCTGTGGGAGCTGGAAAGGCTGTGAGGGGAGACCTTGGTTCACCCCGGCCCACTGGGTGGTAAACCCCGGATGCCTGGGAGCAGGGGCTTCTGGGAATCCAGCCGGCCATTTGCTTCCTGAAAAGTCACCCACAGCTTTTCAGGAACACAGTAATCCAAAGCAAAGTGTATTTTTATCCCCCAGTTTGGAATCGAGTAAAAATATTCCCAGCCTTGGGCTAGTGAAGGCCCGCCCTCCTCTGGGAGGTAGAGGAGCGAGCAGCCCGACGTGCCTGAGCTGGATTAGGGCCAGGAACAAACTCCACAAATAAAGACAATTTGGACCCTCCGGGAAAGTTCCATTGTCCCTGGTGAGTTAATTTTACCAGCCGCTGAGTTCTGGAGGCTCTGAAGCCCTAATCAGAACGGGTGTCAGTTTCCCCCTTGGTGAAATTAACCACCACGTGTGCCTGAGGAGCCCCCTGAGAGAAGCAGCTGCAGGGGCTAAATACCCAGCGAGAAGGAGGGGGAGGGAGGCACCAGCCCTCTGCCCGGGGGCCCGCTCGCCCCCACAGGCTGGCGCCCCCCTGATTAGCGGTAGCCACACCGGGCATCGGCTCGTTTATCTGTACCACCTGCCCATTTCACAAGTGAGAAAACTGAGGGGTGGAGCGTCACCTGAGCACATGCTGGAGCCAGAATTTGAACCCGAGTCTGTTGAAACCTGTTCTCGAAATGATCCTGTCCTCTGAATTATACAGGGTCTCCCTGAAACGCTGTCTCTTCCCAAACCTGCAGCCCTTCCCTGCGTTTCAACCCAAGTATTCTCTCTCTGCCCTTTCCACCAACACGTCTTTGGGTGACCAGAGCTGGAGCCCAGAGACACACAATTGAATTCTTTGCCACAGCAGCCCTGAGAACTGCTTGTAAATGGGGCCGTGGACGGGAGGAAGAGTGATCTTGTTAATAAGTTCTCCGCAGTGTGGAGCAGAGAAACCTGCCTGGGGGCTCCCGACCCTGCCAAATTGCCTCTTCACTCTTGGCCATATTTTAAGTCTAACTCCAAAATTCAGTTATCGAAATGACTCATCCCGTCTCCAGAGAAGCCCAGGACGCTGCCTTGGGGCCAGTCGTGTTTACCTCTTGCCGCAGATGGGGCCTTCGCAGCTCACTCTGCTGGGCGCCAGGTGGGGTGGGCGTGGGCGGGTCCAGAGGCCCAGGGTCTTGCTGTGGCCCTTGGGGCTCCTAATAGAACCTGCTTCCATTTCCTCATCTGCAAGATGATGATGGGGAAGGATAAAGATTTATAATGTCTGGGAGGCCCGGACATTGGCCAAATCACTGGGGTTTGCTTGTTCATTCATCTCTGTGAAGGTCCTGCCTCTGGCCAGCAGCATGTGCTGGAGGCGTCTTCGACACCTTCTCCCTCACCCACTGTGTCTCATCCACGACCATGGCCTCACTATCCACTCTACCTCTCAAGGCCATTCCTCACTCATCTCCAGATGGTCCACCTTGGACCATCGTCTCTCACCTGGACCACTCGCTGCAATGGCTTCCCAGCTGGCCTCCCCACATCCACCCCTACCCTCTGCAAATGTCCCCACCGACAGCTAGAGCTCAAAATGTAAAGCAGATCCTATTATCTTCTTGGTTTAAAATGTTGAATGCTTCCCATTGCACTTAGCATCGCCTGCAGGCCCTGGCTGTGCTGAGCCCTGCCCATTCCTCCTTCCCCCCCAGCCACCTGCCCACTCAGCTCCCCATGCTCCAGTTTCATAGGGCGTTCCTCTCTCCAGGCACAGGGCCTTTGCACATGCTGCTCTCTGCCTAGCACGCCCCCGTCCACTTCCCTGGCTTCTCTTGTTTCTCTTGCTAGTTGCCTCAGAGCCCAGTCAGAGGATTCTTTCCGATCAGGAGCCCCTGTCTTTCACTCTCACATATGATGATCCCCCCTCTCTGGCACGTGGCCACAGTTGTGGCTTTGGATTGTGTGAGTGTGATTTTGGGGGGCTTATGCCCCCCTCCCCCCCATCACTAGCTGGGAGGGCATGAAGGCACAGACCCCGTGTGATTTGCTCACCACTCTGGCCCCAGTGCCAGCCACAGGCCAGCAAATATATTCATTCACCAGACATTCCCAAAACTTCTCCCACCGCCTTCTGGAAGGACTCAGATTGATGGGGAGAACAGACAAGTAATGAAGCCAATAGGGAAGGCTTGTTCAGGGGCTCCTATGAGCTGGGCAGGCATTGTAACGTTATCATAGGTCATCATGTGAAACCCTATGGGGGAGATGCTGCTTTTCTCAGATAAAGGACTGACTGGGTCACAGAGTGACCTGCCCAAGATCACACGGCCAGTCGGCCATGGAGCTGGATTCAGACGGAGGCCAGCAGGCTGCAGAGCCCAGGTCCCCACCACTGTGCTACGTGCAAGCACAGTTCAGTATGGTAAATGCAAGGTGGCTCAGGTGGGCCGGGGTGTGATCCTCACTGGCAAGATGTCCAGAAGGTTCCTGCTTCCAGTTCCAAAGCCCGCCCTGTCCCAGGCTTGGCCTCAGCCTCTCCATCCTGAACAGGAGACGCGGAACTGGAGCCGCCTCTAGCGGGCTCACCCCTCTAGCCTCCGTCCAGGTTTCCCAGGGCCCTTTCAGCTCATTCATTTTGACCCCATCCTTGGAGAAGCGGTTACCCCCACCTGACCCCAGAGGGCAGCACTGGGCCCGGTGAGCCCATCTCCTACTGGATCACGATGTGAATAAAACCACACAGTGTTTTCACCGG